GGCACCTACGTTGACGCGGTTCCCCCTCCTGGGGCGAACATCGTCAGTGGCATGTGGATCTTTAGGGTGAAGCGGCCGCCGGGCTCTCCGCCTGTCTTCAAGGCGCGGTACGTGGCTCGTGGCTTCAGTCAGCGGCAGGGAGTTGACTACTTTCAGACCTTCTCTCCCACCCCAAAGATGACCACTCTTCGGGTGCTGCTACACGTAGCAGCTCAGCGTGACTACGAGCTTCACTCCCTTGACTTCAGCACTGCTTTCCTGCAGGGTAGCCTGCACGAGGAGATCTGGTTGCGCCGTCTACCTGGCTTCACTGGGACTTTCCCTCCTGGCACCCAGTGGAGCCTCCGACGGCCAGTCTATGGTCTTCGCCAGGCACCGCGCGAGTGGCACGACACACTGAGGACTACACTTGCGGCTCTTGGGTTCGCTCCCTCTACTGCTGACCCGTCGCTGTTTCTACGCACCGACACCTCTCTGCCGCCGTTCTACATCCTCGCGTACGTCGACGACTTGGTCTTTGCCACAGCTGACACTGCTGGACTCGCCCACGTGAAGTCCGAGCTGCAGAAGAGACACACGTGCACAGACCTGGGTGAACTGCGCAGCTACCTTGGCTTGCAGATCACCCGGGACAGAGCACGCCGCACCATTACCCTGACTCAGTCACACATGGTGCAGCAGGTCCTTCAGTGCTTCGGCTTCACGTACTCCTCGCCTCTGGCCACTCCTCTGTCTACTCGCCACTCACTCTCAGCTCTGCCTTCGGATGAGTCCGTAGGGTCGAGTGGCCCGTACCCAGAGCTTGTTGGCTGCCTCATGTACCTGATGACATGCACACGACCTGACCTTGCATACCCTCTTAGCATTCTTGCACGCTATGTTGCTCCTGGGAGACACAGACCAGAGCACATGGCTGCAGCGAAGAGGGTGTTGCGCTACTTGTGCAGTACGTCGGGCATGGGGCTAGTGCTTGGAGGGCGGAGTCCAGTGGTCCTCACTGGGCACGCGGACGCTTCTTGGGCAGACGACCAGGCTATGCAGCGGTCGTCACAGGGTTACACCTTCAGCCTTGGTTCCGGCTCTGTTTCGTGGCGGGCTACTCGCTCGTCTTTTGTTCTCGGCTCCAGTTGTGAGGCTGAGATCTACGCCGGGGCCATGGCTGCACAGGAGCTTCGCTGGCGTTTCTACCTGCTGACTGACCTCAGAGAGCCGCCTCGTTCCCCTCTGGTGCTGTACGTAGACAACAAGGCCATGCTAGCCTTGTGTCGGGAGCAGCGCCTGGAGCACAGAACGAAGCACATTGCTCTCCGCTACTTTCTTGCTCGTGAGTTGCAGCAGCGTGGTCAGTTGCGACTTGCGTACGTGGCCTCTGAGGCCAACAGTGCTGATGTTTTCACCAAGGCACTTGCGCCTTGTAATCATTAGCGCTTCTGTACTCAGCTTGGTCTTGTGCCTGTCTTGCCTCACTTGCTCACCTCTTGACCTTGCTTGTACTGTTACATATATATACACCTGCTCTTGCTTGTCAAGCTTTCTATATATATGTACTCATGCATGTGAACTGGCCTTGTGGCCTTGAACTTGTGCTCGGAATGTGTGGTGACTTTGTGATCCACCCTGAGCTTGCTTTGCTTTGCTTTGCTTGACTGGTCTTGTGACCGCTTGTTCTCCCCCACTTTGCCTATGGGGGTGTGTCAGAACATTATAGCTTATGCTTTTGTGTAGGGTGTAGTGGGGTAGCCCATATGGGGTACAACCCAATTAGGGTTAGTACTTGTACCCAACTGTTTCATAGTTCATTCATTCTCGTTCTCATCTTCTCTGAAAGGGGCGAATAACATCGCCGATGCCTTGACCAGACCGACAGTTCAAACCGCTGCGGTGCTCATCACCCATTCGAACCCGCTACTTACAGGACTATTCACCCATCGCTACACTACGGACCCGTTTTTCACGATTGGAAATCACCAGCAGGCGACGACGCAGAAGGGGAATTATTATCTAAAGGCCGGAACTGACCGGATTTGGGTTCCTGCTTACCGACTGCTGCGTGAACTCCTCATTCAGGAGGTCCATGATACTAACCTCTCCGGACATTTCGCGGTTGATAAAACCCAGAAACTGTTGCACCGTCAATATTATTGGCCTGATTCTGCTAACGACGTGCAGCGATATGTGTCCTCATGCAGGGTGTGCCAAGCCATAAAATCGACACGTCAGCGGCCAGGTGGATTGCTGCAACCCCTCGAGCCACACGAACGACCGTGGCAACAGGTGACGATGGACTTCGTCAAGGGGATGCCAGCTGGGCCGTCCGGCAACGACGATGTTCTCATCGTCGTCGATCGCCTCACGAAAATGGCGCACTTTGCACCGTGTCGTACAACAATCACAGCCGAAGAAACTGCGCGCCTCTTCATCTTGACCGTCGTGCGACTGCACGGAATCCCTGTAGCCATCATCAGCGACAGGGACCCAAAGTTCACATCGAAATTCTGGAAGGAGACGTGGGTGCCGTACGGCACGAAGCTACAATTCTCATCGGCCTACCACCCGCAAACGGACGGCCAGACCGAGCGAACCAATTAGACGATGGAGCAGCTGATCAAGACAAACTGCCCCGACCCCGCTCGCTGGGAAAACTCGCTCGCCATGCTGGAGTTCGCGTTCAACAATGCCCCGTCGAGCACGACTATTCACTCCCCGTTTTCCCTAAATTACGTGATGGACCCGACGGTGCCTACGACGATTACACTCGACAACCCGGTCCCGAGGTCACAAACATTTGTGACGGAACTTCAGGAAGTTCGCGAAAAGGCTGCGGACGCAATTCCCAAGGCGAATACCACTTCACGTAAATACACCGACCTTTTACGATGGGAACTCGTCTTGGCAGCTGGGCAATTAGTGCTACTTGACACGAAGAACCTGCACCTTCCCGGCCCATCGAAACTCCGGCTACGATTTTGCGGGCCTTTCAAGATCATCAAGGTGGTGACACCTGTCACCGCGAAGCTGCTGCTACCCGACGATTGGCGTATACATGACGCCTTCCATGTCAGCCTTCTTCGCAAGTTCGTGCCTGGCACGACGAACATTGCGCGCCAGAACGCCGCCCCGACAGCCCGACCTGTCCCAGAACCGACAGTTGACCCATCCAAGATTATGGCGCATCGTGTTCGGCTCGACGCTTCTGGACGCCACATGGATTTTTTAATCCGCTGGACTAACCACACCAGTGAAGACGACACTTGGGTGCCATCCGCCTCGCTTGAAGCTTCTCCGCTTCTTGGTGATTACCTCGCCCGCAAGCGAGCTGCGGATATTGACCACATTTCTGAAGGGGGGGGGGGGGGGGGGGTAGTTGTCAGAACATTATAGCTTATGCTTTTGTGTAGGCTATAGTGGGGTAGCCCATATAGGGTACAACCCAATTAGGGTTAGTACTTGTACCCAACTCTTTCATAGTGCATTCATTCTCGTTTCAGTTTTCTCATGGTATCGAGCAGGTTCCCTCGTGGGAACTATTCCTAGAGCCCACCGATTCGATTTTTTTCCTGCCCGGAGCGCGCTCAGCCCTTGCCCGAGTCGCGCTCCCCCTTTCTCACTGTGTCGCGCCGCCCTTGACGGCCCCGATCTGCCGCCCTAGCGGCCCCGTCACCTACCCCGCGGCCCTCGAGCCGCCCTTCCCGGCCCCGATTCGCCGCCCTTTCGGCCCCGTCGCCTACCCCGCGGCCCTCGCGCCGCCCTTCCCGACCCGGCCCCGACCCTGCGGCCCCGTCGCCTACCGGCGGCCCCGCCGCCTACCTGCGGCCCCGCCACCTACCTGCGGCCCCGTCGCCTACCTGCGGCCCCGCCGCCTACCTGCGGCCCCGTCGCCTACCTGCGGCCCCGTCGCCTACCTGCGGCCCCTCCGCCTACCTGCAGCCCCGTCGCCTACCTGCGGCCCCGTCGCCTACCTGCGGCCCCGTCGCTGCCCTTCCCGGCTCAGGCGCCGCCCTTTCTCGGCCACGACGCTGCCCTTCCTGACCCGGCCCAGTCTCTGCTGGCCCCGTCGCCTACCCTAGGGCCCCGGCGCCGCCCCCTTCCCGGTCCCGGCCCAGCCCCTGCTGGCCCCGTCGCACGCCCTTCCCGGCCCCGACCGCGCCTTCACGCGGCTCCGCCGAGCTACTGCCGAGTCGCCAGCGCCACCCGAGCCGCCGCGCCACCTGAGCCGCCCGAGCCGCCGTCCCGCCGAGCCGCCTGAGCCGCCCGAGCCGCCCGAGCCGCCGTCCCGCCGAGCCGCCCGAGCCGCCCGAGTCGCCTGAGCCGCCCGAGCCACAGAGTAGCCGAGCCGCCGAGCTGCAGTTCCTGCTGAGCCGCCGAGCTGCAGTTCCTGCCGAGCCGCCGAGCTGCAGTTCCTGCCGAGCTGCCGAGCCCCCGAGCCACCCGAGCCGCCCTGTCCGGTAAGAGCAGCGCCTCTGTCACTGCACTGCCCTTACCCCACTGTTCGCCCTACTAGTCTACTGCTGTCATAGCTACCCCTAGTGTCCTCGCTTTTGACGCTGAGGGTCGGGCCATTGACTTTGATGTCTGGGTAGATGACCTGCAGCTTTTCTTACAGTGCGATAGGGCAGACGGTCTCTCCCTCTTTGACCTCACCTCTTGTGCCTCTCCTGCCCCTGCTCCTGATGCTGACGCCACTGTTCGCTCACAGTGGGCCACACACAATGCTGCTGCACGTCTTGCTGTGCGTCGCCACCTGCCTACCTCTAAGCGTGCGCACTTTAGCCAGTACAAGAGTGCTCAGACCTTGTACGACGCTGTAGTTGCACGCTACTCCTCCCCTGCCACTGCTGCACTGAGCCGCCTCATGCTACCGTACCTCTTCCCTGACCTTGCTGCCTTTCCCACAGTCGCTGACCTCATTACGCACCTCCGCACTAGTGACACTCGCTACCGCACTACGCTTCCTGCTGAGTTCTGCTGAGTTCTGCGCACTAGAACCCCCCCCCCCCCCCATGTACATCACTCTCTACTACATAGTCACCCGCCTCCCCGACTCCCTTCGCGTATTCAGGGACCACTTCCTCTCAGTTTGCCCCACCACCCTCACCGTTGACCTCCTCGAGAAGGCCCTCCTAGCAGCGGAGAAGAGCATAGTCGCTGTAGGAGCCTCTCGTGGTGACCCTCGCACCCCCATCTTTGAGGGGTGTTCCCCCTCCCCCCTTTTGCCCTCTGTTGCCTGCTGCGGCCGACCTCGTTGGGCTTGAGTCAGTCGGTGCGGCGTCTACCCCTAGCGGGAGACGCCGCCCTGGTAAGGGCAAGGGGGGCAGGGGCGCTGGAGGAGCTAGCGGGGGCGGTGGAGGCGGCGGTGGAGGCGGCGAAGGGAGTGGGGGTGGCGGTGGGGGTGGTGGCGGGGGTGGAGGTGTCGGTGGCAGCAGTGGAGGCGGAGGCGGCGGCGGCGGTGGCGGTGGGAGCGGAGGTGGTGGCGGAGGTGGCGGTGGTGGAGGAGGCGGTGGCGGAGGAGGTGGAGCTGGTCGGGGTGGCGCTGCGCAGAGGGTCGGCTCCGGTGGAGGTCAGCGCCAGCAGCAGCAGCAGCAGCGCACTCGTGACATTCCCTCCCCTCAGCAGCTCTGTGAGTGGTACACTGCACGCCAGCGGGGTGGGGGTACTGGTCCGTGCACCTACGTCCTACGCACCGGCGACCGCGCGGGTGAGCAGTGCGGGGGTGCGCACTCCACCCAGCGCTGCTTTGGCCGCCTGACGGACGCTTGGCGTCACCAGTTCCCGGAGGCCACGGAGATCCCCCGCTGGGGTGAGCTGTCTAGGGCGGGAGTAGCTGTCTTTGACCTTGACTTTGATGCTATTCTTGCTGCCATGTATGCTGTGACTATAAGTGATGAGGGTCACTGTTACCGGTGTTTTCCGCCCGACCCGGGCATTGAGACTTCCGCTCTAGGTACAGGTGAGGCTGCTGCTCTAGGTGCTAGCGAGGCTGCTGCTCTAGGTGCTCGTGCGTCTACTCCCTCAGGTGCTGGTGAGTCTGCTCTCTCAGGTACTGCGTCGGCTTCGGCCTCCCACACCTTCACCCTTGACTCGGGGGCTTCTCGCTCCTTCTTTCGAGACCGCACCACACTCACGCCGCTTGGCCGGCCAGTTGCAGTCTCTCTAGCAGACCCCTCTGGGGGTCCTGTCCTTGCTCGATACTCCACTGTCCTCCCATGTCCGGCGGCCCCCTCTGGCACCCTGTCTGGTCTTTACCTCCCCTCGTTCTCTACGAACTTGGTGAGTGGTGCTGACCTACAGGATGCGGGGGTTCACCAGTTCACTCCTGCGCGTCAGCGGGTGACTCACTGCACGGACGCTCGGACAGGCCGACACCTAGCCACGTTTACACGTCGGCCGGGGTCGAGCCTGTACACACTGACCACTGCTTCTCCTCCAGTCACTGCGTCTGGTCAGGTAGCTGCGTCGGGTCAGGTGTTTGCTGCAGCATCCAGGTCTGGTCCTGAGTCTGCCCCCTGCTCGTGTCGCCTCCTGTCTCACGAGACTCTTCTTTGGCACCACCGCCTTGGTCACCCCTCCCTGCTTCGTCTCCGAGGCATGGCCTCCCGTGTCCTTGTCTCTGGTCTTCCCCGGTCCCTCCCTCCCCTTCCTCCTGGGCCTGGCCCTACCTGCGTCCCCTGTGTCGAGGGGTGGCATCGGGCTGCCCCTCACTCCTCCCAGTTTCCTCCGACAGAGGCCCCGCTGCAGACGCTTCACATGGACGTGTGGGGCCCGGCCCGCGTCCGTGGACAGGGTCACGAGCGCTACTTCCTGCTGGTGGTTGACGACTACTCGCGTTACACCACAGTCTTCCCCTTGCGCAGCAAGGGTGATGTCACTGCGGTGTTGATCGACTGGATCCGCGCAGCTCGTCTCCAGCTCAGGCAGAGCTTCGGCTCGGACTTTCCTGTTCTGCGTCTGCACTCTGACCGAGGCGGAGAGTTCTCCTCTGGCCTTCTGCGAGCCTACTGTCGTGCGCGAGGCATCCGCCAGACCTTTACGCTTCCGGACTCTCCACAGCAAAATGGAATTGCTGAGCGCCGCATTGGCATGGTCATGGACGTCGCTCGTACGTCCATGATGCATGCGGCTGCCCCCCATTTTCTGTGGCCGTTTGAGTTCGGTACGCGGCGCATCAGATCAACCTTCACCCCAGGGTCTCCAGACCGGAGACCTCCCCAGCCTTGCTGTGGACGGGGAAGGTCAGCGATGCGTCTGCGTTCCGTGTCTGGGGATCTCGGGCGTTTGTCCGCGACTTGTCTGCGGACAAGCTGTCCCCTCGTGCTGCTCCCTGTGTCTTCCTTGGCTTCCCCCCTGACACCCCTGGGTGGCAGTTCTACCACCCTACCTCTCGGCGTGTTCTGTCCTCCCAGGACGTCACGTTTGACGTGTCGGTCCCCTACTACCGCCTCTTCCCCTACCGCACTCTGTCCCTCCCCCCGCCGCCGCTCTTCCTTGTACCAGGTCCCCCCCCGGTAGAACCCCTCCCCCCTCAGGGTCCTGCCCCTTCAGGTTTGTTCCAGGTAGACGCAGTTGAGCCTGTCGAGGTTGCTGGTGACTCTGGTGCTGCTGAGGGTGCTGAGCCTGGGGGTGCTGACTCTGGGGGTGCTGAGCGCGTGGGTGCTGCGCCTGGGGGTGCTGAGCCTGCGGGTGCTCCTACTGGGGGTGCTGAGCCTGGGTGTGCTGCGACTGGGGGTGCTAAGCCCGGGGGTGCTGCGGCTGGGGGTGCTGAGTCTGGGGGTGCTGAGCCTGGGTGTGCTACGCCTGGAGGTGCTGAGCCTGGAGGTGCGGAGCCTGAGGGATTTGGGCCTACTCGTGTGGCGTCTGGCGGTGCTGGGCCTGGAGGTTCTCCGGGTGCTTCGTCTCGACGGGAGCCCCTCTCTCCACAGGAGCTGCGTGAGTGGTTTGCCCGGCGCTTAAGGCCTGCTGCTGGAGCTGGAGGCTCTCCAGCTGCTGAGGGTGCTGGTGCCGCGGGTCCCGGAGGTGCTCGTGCTGGGAGTACTGGAGCTGCTGGGCCTGCGGGTGCGACTGGAGCTGGTGCTGCTGAGGGTGTTGGCGCGGAGCCTGCTCCTGTCGGTCCTGGAGGCGGACCTATTGGGGGTACTACTGGTGCTGCTGGAGGTGCTGGAGCTAGAGGTGCTCCTGGCACTGGTGCTGCCGCTGGGGGTACTGGTGCTGTCTCTGCTGTGTCTGGAGTCGCCGCGCGGCCTCGGCCGTACTTCGTTCTGCTCCTTCAGCAGGTTCTTGGTCTCCCGCCTTCTACTGGTCCTTCTCCTCCCTTAGAGTGTACACAGCCAATCCCGTCACAGTTACAGCCGGCCTCCCCACTGCCTGCTCCTTCTCCCTACACTAGTCCTACTGGAGGTCTTGCTGAGCGTCGTGAGCCTGCGTCTCGCCCTGTGTCGCTTGTCCGCCCTGCTCGCACTAGTGGTCGTGGTTCGCGTCAGCGTCCTCCTCCTGTCCCTGGCACGCACCGGATGTCTCTGCGTCAGTCCACTCCTCCTCTGCGTGCCCCTTTGCCTTCTCCTCCTGAGTCCTCTCTTCTTGCTCTTGCCGACCCGGAGTCGGACTCTCTTCGTGCTGCCAGACCTACTGTCACGCGTCTCCTTGCTACTGTCGTCACTGACCCTTCCTTTGAGTCCACTGCTGCGTCTGCCTTAGTTACTGAGCTCGTCGACTTTGCTGCTCGCTGTCGTCTAGACTACGCTGCTAGTCTTGTCGCTGAGTCTGAGACTGTCTATCCTCCGTCCTTCGGGGGTGAGTGTGCCCTTGGCACGGACGTCCTTGAGGACAGGCAGGAGGAGTTCCAGTGCCTGGCTGCTGCTTCACCTCATCTCGTGTCCGTACTGCTTACCCCTGAGGGAGACCCGGATGCACTTAACATCCCGACTCCGCGCTCTTACGCGGAGGCGATAGAGGGTCCCTACTCCTCTCAGTGGCAGGCAGCTATGGACGCAGAGATGGCTTCCTGGAAGTCCACAGGCACCTACGTTGACGAGGTTCCCCCACCTGGGGCGAACATCGTCAATGGCATGTGGATTTTCAGGGTGAAACGGCCACCGGTTTCTCCGCCTGTCTTCAAGGCGTGCTACGTGGCTCGTGGCTTCTGTCAGCGGCAGGGAGTTGACTACTTTCAGACCTTCTCTCCCACCCCGAAGATGACCACTCTTCGGGTACTGCTGCACATAGCTGCTCACCGTGACTACGAGCTTCACTCTCTTGACTTCAGCACTGCTTTCTTGCAGGGCAGCCTGCACGAGGAGATCTGGCTGCGTCGCCCACCTGGCTTCACAGGGTCTTTTCCTCCTGGCACCCAGTGGAGCCTCCGGCGGCCAGACTACGGTCTCCGCCAGGCACCGCGTGAGTGGCACGACACACTGAGGACTACACTTCTTTGCCGCCGTTCTACATCCTCGTGTACGTCGACGACTTGGTCTTTGCCACAGCTGACACTGCTGGACTCGCCCACGTGAAGTCGGAGCTGCAGAAGAGACACACGTGCACAGACCTGGGTGAACTGCGCAGCTACCTTGGCTTGCAGATCACCCGGGACAGAGCACGCCGCACCATTATCCGAACTCAGTCACACATGGTGCAGCAGGTCCTTCAGCGCTTCGGCTTCACGTACTCCTCGCCTCAGGCCACTCCTCTGCCTACTCGCCACTCGCTCTCAGCTCTGCCTTCGGATGAGTCCGTAGAGTCGAGTGGCCCATACCCAGAGCTTGTTGGCTGCCTCATGTACCTGATGACCTGCACTCGACCTGACCTTGCATACCCTCTTAGCATTCTCGCACGCTATGTTGGACCTGGGAGACACAGACCGGAACACATGGCTGCAGCGAAGAGGGTGTTGCGCTACTTGTGCAGTACGTCGGGCATGGGGCTTGTGCTTGGAGGGCAGAGTCCAGTGGTCCTCACTGGGCACGCAGACGCTTCTTGGGCTGATGACCAGGTTTCGCAGCGGTCGTCACAGGGTTACACCTTCAGCCTTGGTTCTGGCTCTGTTTCGTGGCGGTCTACCCGCTCGTCTTCTGTTCTCGGCTCCAGTTGTGAGGCTGAGATCTACGTCGGGGCCATGGCTGCTCAGGAGTTACGCTGGCTCACCTACCTGCTGACTGACCTCGGAGAGCCGCCTCGTTCTCCTCCAGTGCTATACGTAGACAACAAGGCCATGCTGGCCTTATGTCGAGAGCAGATACTGGAGCACAGAACGAAGCACATTGCTCTTCGCTACTTCCTTGCTCGTGAGCTGCAGCAGCGTGGTCAGCTGCGTCTTGCGTACGTGTCCTCTGAGGCCAACACTGCTGATATCTTCACCAAGGCACTTGCGCCTTGTGATCATCAGCGCTTCTGTACTCAGCTGGATCTTGTGCCTGCCTTGCCTCACTTGCTCACCTCTTGACCTTACTTGTACTGTTACATTTATGTATACACCTGCTCTTGCTTTTCTAGCCTTTTATATATATATGTACTCCTGCATGTGAACTGGCCTTATGGCCTTGACCTTGTGCTCGGAATGTGTGGTGACTTTGTGATCCACCCTGAGCTTGCTTTGCTTTGCTTTGCTTGACTGGTCTTGTGACCCCTTGTACTCCCCCACTTTGCCTATGGGGGTGTGTCAGAACATTATTGCTTATTCTTTTATGTAGGCTGTAGTGGGGTAGCCCATATAGGGTACAACCCAATTAGGGTTAGTACTTGTACCCAACTCTTTCATAGTGCATTCATTCTCGTTTCAGTTTTCTTAGTAGTGTAAGGAAAAACCCTTTTCCTTATAGGGGTTTACTGAACCACGTACAACCCCAACTTTTGGAAGTGCATGTTCGGCCACTTTGCTTGCTGCCGAAGCAGCCTCGCGTCGCCTTCGGCCTTTCCTTTGACCATCCTGCACCCAACCTCACGTTCCCGAGGTTCCCGCCTAGCTAGGTTGACCCACTATATACCGTCATCGCCTGGATATAAGACATATATGTATTATCTCATACACTAAAAAAAATTCTTGGGTTATCTTGTATTTGGGGAGGTTTTGGGTGTCTTATAAGTCTTATAAATGGAAACCTTTTTAAACTACTTAGAAATATTTTCACGCATCTTGAAAAGAGTTTCTCATTAAGAGTGTCGATGTTGCGAAGTTGCCACTTCGGCAACCATTGTTCGGGACGCCACGTCATCCCGAATACTTGCAGAGTCAAATTTGGTAGTATGTGACTCAGCACGTGGCAGAATTCGCGTGTCGCAAGGGTAAAAATTCTTATGAAGAAGAAGTGATTGCACTATGAAAGTTGGAGTACAAGTAGGAAACCCTAACTTTGTGTACCCCCTAAAGGCTAACCCACTATAGCCTACACAATAATAACACATACAGTGTTTGACACACCCCCATAGGCAAAGTGGGGGAGAACAAGGGGTCACAAGACCAGTCAAGAAAGGCAAGCAAGCTCAGGGTGGATCACAACGTCACCACACACTCCGAGCACAAGCAAAGGGCCACAAGGCCAGTTCACATGCAGAAGTATATATAAGTAGTACACACAACAAGGGTGACCTCAACCTAGCAGTGCAAACAGGCAGGAGTATATATAGAGATCACATTACAGGCAAAGCCTACAACAAGTGAGGCAAAGTGGGCACTAGCCCCAACAAAGTACAGAAGCGCTGATGATCACCAGGTTGAAGTGCCTTGGTGAAAATATCAGCGGTGTTGGCCTGAGAGGCCACGTAGCGCAGACGAAGCTGACCACGCTGCTGCAGCTCACGAGCAAGGAAGTAACGGAGAGCGATGTGCTTCAATCTGTGCTCCAGTCTGTGCTCCTCACACAAGGCAATGGCAGCCTTGTTGTCGACGTACAGCACTGGAGGAGAACTAGGCCGCTCTCAAAGGTCGGTCACCAGGTAGGTGAGCCAGCGTAACTCCTGTGCAGCCATGGCTGTGGCGTAGATCTCAACCTCACAACTGGAGCTGAGAACCGAAGACGAACGAGTAGAACGCCACGAAACTGAACCAGAGCCAAGGCTAAAGGTGTAACCTTGTGACGACCGCTGAGTAGCCTGGTCGTCAACCCAAGAAGCGTCTGAGTGCCCAGTGAGAACAACTGAGCTCCCTCCTCCAAGCACGAGCCCCATGCCTGATGTACTGCACAAGTAGCGCAATACCCTCTTTGCAGCATCCCAGTGCACCTTTCGGTGACGACTAGGAGCCACGTAGCGAGCCAGAAGGCCAAGAGGGTATGCTAGGTCAGGACGAGTGCAAGTCATCAGGTACATGAGGCAACCAACTAGCTCTGGGTAAGGACCACTCGACTCTACGGACTCATCCGAAGGCAGAGCTGAGAGCGAGTGACCTATAGCCAGAGGAGTGGCCTGTGCTGAGGACCAGGTGAAGCCGAAGCGCTGAAGGACCTGCTGCACCATGTGTGACTGAGTCCAGGTAATGGTGCGGCGTGCTCTGTCCCGGGTGATCTGCAAGCCAAGGTAGCTGCGCAGTTCACCCAGGTCTGTGCACGTGTGTCTCTTCTGCAGCTCCGACTTCACGTGGGCGAGAGACTCAGTGTCAGCTGTGGCAAAGACCAAGTCGTCGACGTACACGAGGATGTAAAACGGCGGCAGCGAAGTGTCGGTGCGTAGAAACAGCGACGGGTCAGCAGTAGAACGAGAGAACCCAAGTGCCGCAAGAGTAGTCCTCAGTGTGTTGTGCCACTCACGTGGCGCCTGGCGGAGACCGTAGACCGGCCGGCGGAGGCTCCACTGGGTACCAGGAGGGAACGACCCAGTGAAGCCATGAGGGCGGCGCAGCCAGATCTCCTCGTGCAGACTGCCCTACAAGAAAGTTGTGCTGAAGTCAAGAGAGTGAAGCTCGTAGTCGCGCTGAGCAGCAACGTGCAGTAGTACCCGAAGAGTGGTCATCTTCGGGGTGGGGGAGAAGGTGTGAAAGAAGTCTACTCCCTCTCGCTGACTGAAGCCTCGAGCAACGTAACGAGCCTTGAAGACAGGCGGAGAACCCGGCGGCCGCTTCACCCTGAAAATCCACATGCCACTGACGATGTTCGCCCCAGGTGGGGGAACCTCGTCGACGTAGGTGCCCGTGGACTTCAAGGAAGCCATCTCTTTGTCCATGGCTGACTGCCACTGTGAGGAGTAGGGACCCTCGATCGCCTCAGCGTACGATCGAGGAGTCGGGATGTCTGGTGCATCCGGGTCTCCCTCAGGGGCAACTAGCATGGACACGAGATGGGGCGCAGCGGCTGCAAGACACTCAAGATTCTCCTGTCTGTCCTCAAGGACGTCTGTGCTAAGAGCACACGCACCCCCGACAGACAAGGACAGACAGACTCAGACTCAGCGACAAGACTGGCAGCGTAGTTTAGACGACAGCGAGCAGCAAAGTCGACAAGCTCAGCAACTAGGGTAGACGCAGCAGCAGACTCAAAGGAAGGGTCAATGACAGCAGTGGCCAGGAGACGCGTGTCAGTAGGACTGGCAGCACGAAGAGAGTCAGACTCAGGGTCAGCAAGAGCAGAGGAGGAGACGGAAGAGGGACACGCTGTGGAGACGGCAGTGGGACGCAGTGACATCCGGTGTGTGCCAGGGACTGGTAGCGGACGCTCACGCGGAGTACGGCGACTGGTGGAAGTAGTACGAACAGGGGACTCAGGACGGGACTTAGGCGACACAGGGCGAGACTCAGGCTGACGACGCTCTGTGAGACCGCCTGTAGGACAAGTGTAGGGAGAAGGAAGAGGAAGTGGCGAGGCAGGCGGTAGCTGTGACTGCGACTTTACCAGCGGTGGACACTCTACAGAGGGAGGGGGACAAGGCGGAGGTGACTGACCAAGAACCTGCTAAAGGAGTGGAACAAAGTATGGCCGCGGCCGTGAGGTGCCCTCTGGAGCAGCACAGATAGCACCAAAACCTCCAGCCGCTCCAGCAGCACCCCCAGCACCTCCAACGCCCGGGTATGCAGCACCAGCAGCAGCTCCAACGCCCGGGTCCGCAGCACCAGTAGCAGCTCCAACTCCAGGGTCCGCAGCACCAGTAGCAACCCCAACTCCAGGGTCCGCAGCACCAGCAGCACCTCCAACGCCCGGGTCCGCAGCACCAGCAGCAGCTCCAACGCCCGGGTCCACAGCACCAGTAGCAACCCCAACTCCAGGGTCCGCAGCACTAGCAGCAGCTCCAACGCCCGGATCCGCAGCACCAGCAGCAGCTCCAACGCCCGGGTCTGCAGCACCAGCAGCAGCTCCAACTCCAGGGTCCGCAGCACCAGTAGCAGGGTCCGCGACACTAGGAGCGCCACTCCTGAGACTGCAGCGTCGTAAGTACCACTCACAAAGACGCTGGGGAGAGGGCAGCTCCCGCCTAGGCGAGGAAGCATGAGCACCAGCTCCAGCAGCACCCCTAGCTCCAAAAGCACCTCTCCTGAGGCTGCAGTACTGTAAGTACCACTCACGCAGCTGCTGTGAGGAGAGAGCTCCTCCAGGCGTAGCACTCATAGGCTCAGCACCCCCAGACTCAGCACCCCCAGACTCAGCACAAGCAGGCTCCGTACTCCTAGGCTCAGCACCCCCAGACTCCGCACCCCCAGGCTCAGTACCCCCAGACTCTGCACCCCCAGGCTCAGCACCCCCAGTCTCCGCAACCCCAGTGTGAGAGTACGACGGCTTATGCCAGCTATGCTTGCTTGCCTTTCCTTTATCATGCTATTTCTAGCATAGGATAATTATATGCATGCATGAATTGCTTGATTTCCTAGGCTAGGTGCTTTCCTATATTTTATTATAGTTATAGCACCGAGCTAGGTTGCGTGCACCGAATTCTAGCTTTTCGGTTGCCACCGAATTGCCTTCTACCGAATTCGGTAAGGATCCGTTCGGGACGCTACGCGGCCTGCGGAACCTTCGCGTAACACCTGGTTACGGGGCCTTGTGTCGAGCCTATATAGAGCCTCG